CAGTGGAGCCAAACAGGGCCTGGGGATGCTCTCATAGATAGCCTGCTCACTGTAGACCAGCGGACCAGCTGTTCCTCAAAAGGTGATGTTGGTTCTGCCCCTCTTGATGAATTCTGCACTCTGCCAGCCTCACTTAAGGTCTTTGGCGGCAGACACCTTTCAACATCCACCTGTCCCTGTTTAGACCTTTATTTCATTTGGCAGCCCTTCCCCAACAAAGGTGAAATTTGCATTGCTATTCTTATTTTTGTTGTTGTTTTGGATTGAATTCGGAAAGACATGGGCAGGGTTGTCTAAGCACTGTCATCTTAAAAATAGAAGTCCCTGTAAGGCTGTAAATTCTGTCTTGTTCCCCCTGATTCTCCAGCATCTAATAATGTATCTGGTGTCTTGTCCAACTAAGCATTTGTCCCAGGCAAAAATGATTTCTGTGTGATAAGTTATATGCTCTCCCTAGTTTGATTTAATGTTTAATTATCAAAAGACGGCATGAGTCAGGATACCTCCACTTCTAAGAAAAGTTCTTCTCTTTTTTCCACCTTTGGAGAATGAGACAGGCAGGAACATGAAGTCCAGGTGGACAACCTGGAGCAGATGACTGGGGAAAACTGACACTAGCAGTGCTGCCAGACAGGCTCAAAGAAGTTTTGTGTGAGGGTGTGGGAAGAACCTATCCCAAAGTTAGGAGGGAGAGACAGGACTCCAGGTTCAAGGGAGATGCTTTGGGATAATGCAATCCCAGATCAGAAAGAAGGGCATGTGTGGAGGACAGGCATTGTGTGCAGTGTTCTCTCCTCCTATTTGTGCTTGCACATGTCAGCCACTAAGGCACCAGCAGTTTCCCTCTGTTATTTCATTTATGGCAATAACTTCAGGTCTCGTGTCTGGTCATAATGGTGATCTATGCATGCCATCTACAGTGGGCATGGGTAATGAATCCTATTTTATTTCTTAATTAAGAATTTGAAAGTACCGCAAATTACTGCAATTAACATGGATTTTCTTCCTCATTTATTTACTTATTTAGATGCATGAAATTGCACCCTTAGCTGAAACCAATGGCAGAGTTCAGAGCCTGTGAAAATATATAGCCTTCATTAAAATACTCATTCTTCCCCAACAGTGAAGTTGCAATGTGGAAATGGTGGTGGTATCTATGCGTGCACAGTGCTTCCCCCCAAAATTTGCTGTTGAATTCAGTCCATTAAGAGTGGTAATTTAAAAAAATTGAGTTTATTAACAATCCATCATGTGACTGAAACAAACTAAGATTTTTAAAATAGCCCATGATTATACTGCCTTCAACCTATATCGCAGTTTTCATTCTCTAAGTTCTTGGGGAAGATGAGGGTTATCCCATTTTCAGAAGTTCAATGCTTATTGAAGAGAAGAATACCTATGTGATAGTGGTTGAATTTGTCTGACTGACTTCAAAAAACAGGACTTTGAGTAAAACAGTTTAGCATCAAATTATCTAGTTGTTTTAAAGATACAACCTTAGTCTTCATTCTTGGGTCTTTGTGTTTGATTTGGTTTTGTTTCCAACTAGTGTGCATGGAGACTTGCAGCTTAAGACAGAGTGGTTGAAATTAACCAAAAATATACTTCAGAAAGGTAAATGCTTTAGTGTGGGCCAGCAGTCACTCCAAACTACAGCCAGCAGGGATAAATGGGTACAATCCTATCAGTAGCAATTGGGAATTGCAGCTTAAAAGCCTTAAAAGTTGCAAATCCTTTGAAATCCAGCTATTCCACTCCAAGGAACTTACCCCCAGGGAAGAATGAAGGGTGATTACCAAGATTTGGCTCCAAGGACATTTATTACAGCCTCTTTTATAATAGCAGAATAAAAAGAAAACAACCAAATGTACTGCAATAAAAGACTGACTAAACCTTACACTGGAATACTAAACCATTAGAAAGTATGTGGTTTGTATTAGTTGTCTATGGCTCCATTACTCCAACACTTAGCAGCTCAAAACAGCAAACATTTATTATCTTACAGTTTCTGTGAGTCAGGACCCTTGAGCACAGAGAACTGGGTCCCCAGTCTGCGCACCTAAGGCTGTGATCATGATGTTTGAATCATCTCAAGGGTTAACATACAGAGGATCCACTTTCAAGCTCACTCCAGTGGGTGTTGGCAGGAACCAGTTCCTCCAGGACTGTTGGTTGAAGGTTGCCCTCAGCTCCTTGCCTTCATTCCACTTCCCACCTTTCTGCAGGGCTGTTCATAACAGAGCAGGTGGTTTCCTCATGGTACATAGACCAGAGAGCAGGAGAGGGTAAGCAGGATTCTTTGTGTAACTCAGGCTTAGAACTGACGTCCCATCAGTCTTGCCATGTTCTATGGTTAGAAGTAAGTCAGAGGTCCAGCCCACACTCCCGGGGGGTGGATTACACAATGGTGAGGTTGTAGGCAGCACGGATCATTGTGAACCATCTTATGAGCTGTCTACCACAGAGCTGAGGTTTATTTATTGGCAAAAGATGTTCTTAATATCTGAGTCAGTGAATGAAAAGCAGATAACAGAACAGCATGTGCAGAATGATCCCCATTTTGTAAACTAATAGAGAAATATATATCCACATGCACATAAATAGTCACAAAACAACCTACAGGGGCTTCATGGGTTGATAGTGGTTATACCTGGATGGTGGCACCACAGATGAATCTCATGTCTTGTCTCCTAACATGTATTTTATCTTTTATCTAAAATGAACATGTATTGCTTACAATTTTAAAAGGAGTAAATGTTATTAAATTAAAAAGCAAAGCAACTGAAATTCTTTGAACTTCTTGCTTCTGACCTTCCCTGTCTATCTTTACAGGACTGTTTCTTGTTACTACTTGAAGTCGACTAAATAGAAGTTCACAAGGCTCTGTGTAGAACCCATTGATCTCACCGTGACCAGGGAAATTGTGAGTATGTTCTAGAACTTGTTGCTATGTCTGTGTCTTCCAAAGCATCTATTGCCACCAATAATGCTAACATGGAAAAACCAAAATTACTTTTTTCCCTCTGAGATCACAATGGGAACTAAGACTGAGCTGGGAGAGCAAGGCTCTGGGAAAACTTCTCCTTGAGCCAGTGTCTTAACTGCCTAATTCTGGCAGCTTCCATATACAAGCTAGCATGATCATGTGGCAGCCATCTTCTCAGAAAATTCCAAAGGGACAGATTATGTTTATATGTCAAAAGTAGATGAACCGATCTGACATGGCTGAACACAGTTTGCAAATGTGAAAAAGGGGAGAGAATGGGTTGGTTTTCCTGCCTCACGCCACCAGGAGGGCCTGAGTTGGGATACCACTGGTTCAGGGCTGGAATGGCTTCTCCAGCAATGTGAATTTTATCTTAAGGTCCCTTACTGATGAACACTACTGTTTAGCCAAACATAGATTCATTGGTTGATTGATAAGCAGACCAGCTGCCCTCCACCTACATGGAGCACAAAGAAAGCAACTTAGGATGGGTCGTCAGGTATCCGCAGGGAAGGAAGTCAGTGGTTTCCATGGTTTCCTAGATGGCTGGGGACAAGGATCAGGTCCGAGGTTCTGGTGGACCTCGTCTCACTGGGACCTATAGCACAATAGCTGGTTACCAGCTAGCACTCCAGTCTCGGAGCTTTAACACAATAGACCATATAAGGCCCAAATGAGATTTGTCAAAGTGGTGATTCAGAGCCCAGGGCCTCCTACCTTGTGGGTTCACCATCTTCCAGGGCCGTTGGGTTTTACACCAGATCTGCTGCATCTACGTGGTTGACAGAGAAGAAGAAAGTGAAAATGGCGCACCTGCTTCCTACCCATGTTGGCCTACAATTGACACACATTACATCCCACTGGTGAGAACAAGTCACATAGGCCTCACCTTGATGAAACAGGCCCTGAGTTAGTCCCTGGTTGGCAGTCACGTCCCCAAAACTCCACTCTGCGGTGGGAGAACGCACACCATGCGCTCGCTCAGGACAAGTCAGTGTTGGAAAGTTCTTGCTGAGGAAATCCTTAGTGGGAATTCATAGATGGACCACAGAGCAGGGCTTAGTGGACGTATCAATGACTCTTTGAATAGTGAGTTGTTCCGCCCTTATATGAAACAGCTTCCAGTACCAGCCATCCCTACTTCTCATGATTATGGCAACAAGCCACTGGGTCAAGGCTCTGAGGAGTCAAGTTTGGAAGCACGAGATGTGCCTCCCGGTGCTGGAAGGCTGCAGAAGCCACTGAGGTCTCAAGATAACAGCTTTAAAACCACCCCTCTCTCTCTCTCTTAGTTTTGTGTTGTGAAAATGACAGTAATAAGATCTATGTCTTAGAGTTGTTGTGAAACCCCAAGTAATTCAAGGAAGAGCATGGGACCCTTTATCTCAACACCAGTGACTTCTCCAGCAAGTATCTACACACGACGAATAGTCTGAGAAGTGCCTTACCGGCACTGCCACAATTGCTGATTCTGGCCACGTTGTCATCACTACGAGGCTACAGTTACAATGACAGCGCCCCGGCCAACAACAGAGTCGTAACATCTCTATGGTGTTGGCATTTAGGTCTTGCACTCTCATGACAACCGTACAGAATGGAAAGGAGACTCTCTATTACCCTCATCTCATAGGCAAGAGAACTGAACCACATGGAGGCTAAGTGACCATGACCGAGATCACATCACAGCCCAGTCAGAGACACCTCTTGGCTCTCAAACCCAGGTCTTCTGCATCAAAGTCATACTCCTACACCAAGTGGAAAATGGAATCTTGGGGGAATATATGGAATTGTTGTGGAGAACTAGTCTCACCCTCATTGTTCAGATGAGCTGGGGATGCCTTTCAGGGCTCTTCCTTTATGTGCCACTGGCCTCAGGCTGCCTTATCTCCTTCACGGTTAGTCAGTCTAACTGCACCTGGGTTGAGGGGTGAGGGTAGGAGCAAGCAGTGATGGTGTTGGTGATGTCACCTCACAGAGGCCATATGCACAAGGTGCCTGGCAGCAAGAGTAGGCCCCAAGGAAGGAGGAAGAGGGAGCACTTTTGCTTACTCTGGCACAGCTGGACACATCACTGGTCAGCGTCACCAACCCTAGTGAGGCAGGTGACAGGCTGAAATCCACTTCCAGGCTTCTTAGGGTTTTCTTTCTCCTCCATGCAATGCACTGGCCTTTTCTCAGCTAGCTTTGAGGACTGATTTTTAGTGACTTTATTCTTTCTGTTGAGAGCAAAGTAAGAACTGTTTCTGGTAGCCTGAGGATTGCAGCATAAGGTCCTTGAAGACAGGGTTTGACCTTGACCCAAAGGTGCCCCTACTGCTGTAGTGAGTGAGGTCTGGTAAACGTGGATCTCTGTGTGGAGAGCAGTGCCTGGGCCCAGACCTGCTGCTGACTGGTGATGACACGAGGGTCATCTAGGCTCTGCAGGACCCAGTCCCCTCATCTGTCCAGCCAGGTGGCAGATGCCCACCCCCTCCACCTCCCCCACTTTCTTATGGAAATACTGAGAACTTGGGGCTCAAACAACTAAATAGACAGAAAGTGCTCTGAAAAGCATAATGTGCTAGATAAATGCAGCAGAGAGCCATCATTATCACCACGATTTTGTGGTCACCTCAGCTTTACTTAACACAGAGCAGTTAATGAAGTGGCAACTGTATGGGTTTCCCACTAGGAGGGCGAAGGGGCCAAACGAGCTCTATTTTTATCCCATTTTAGTGTCCAGTTTTTTTTCCTTCACAACAGCTATGTCTAGTGGGTTTACGAGTGTTTTAGTTACAGTGGCATTTTAGTACACTTACTCCTAACAGAAGGCAGGCTGAGGGCTTTTTTTTTTAAATTCTAAAAATGGTGGCTTTCCCTAAAGGCTGCATTCACTTTCACCGGCAGCCAGAACACCGCTGCCTTTGACCCCACCTATGAGCTTGGTGCCGCCAACCTTTAATGAACTATTTTCTGCGTGATCAGAAAGCGTCTTAATTGGGCCTACAGGTCCACGAGTAGAGAGAAAAATGACAAAAGTCCATTCGCCATCAGGCTTTGGTCCATCAACTGTTCACCAACTGAGATGCGTTTTCCTATGGTTACGAGGAGTTACAGGGAGAAAAAACAGTAGTCAATGTACAGACAGAAGGGGAGAGCCGGGTAGACAAAGAGAAAGAACGTCTCCCCCCCGACCCTGGTGCATGGCTTTCTGCTGTTTCCTGCGGCATCTCGGATGGGCCTGCCTCACTGTAGCCGTCAGACAGACAGGCAAACACCTGCCTCAGGAGAAGGAGAAGATAAATGTCGCAAGGTAGGGAATCTAGCCATTAGGGCCATAAAATGTCAAGTGGGAAGGTGTTTTGCCAGCATCTGGCCCCAAACAAGCCCTTTACAGAGGAGAGAACAAAGGTCAAGTGCACATCCAAGGCCGTGCAAGTGTTAACGTAACCGCTAAGGACAATGTATTACTTTCCTAATGTAAAAAATTACACAAATGTATTGGCTTAAAGCACCACAAATTTATTACCTTAGAGTTCTGCAGGTCAGATGTCTTACACAGGTCTTCCTGGGCTAAAATCAGGGTCTCGGTGGCATTGCATTCTTTTCTGGAGACTCTGGGGAGAACCCACTTCCTCGCCCCTTCCAGCATCTAGAAGCTGCCTGCATTTCTTCGCTTGTGGCCTCTTCCTCCATCTTCAAAGCTAGTAGTGTTGCACTTCTCGGATCTTTTTTCTCTAGTTTAATCTTGACCACAGCCAGGAAAGGTCTCTGCTCTTAAGGACTCTGCTTTTTAGACTGGGTCCACTTGAATAATCGAAGATAACCTCTGTATCTCGAGGTCCATAACCATAGCCACATTGGCAAAGTCCCTTTTACTATAGAAGGTAATGCATTGACAGGTTCTGGGTGATGAGGGTGGACATCTTTGGGTGGGAGTGAGCATTATACGTCCTACCACAAGGAAGATGACTTTGCACAGAAAAATAGGTGCTGAGTCTACAGAGAGTTGGATGGTTGAAAAGAAAAATAGCCAAGGATGTCTGCTTCGGGGTCTTCAGGCATCCAACTAGAGACGGAGACTAGTGTGTCAGAAGTCAGGGGAAGGGAAGGAGGTAGCAATGGACAGAGGGAGGGGCTGTAGGCTCGTCACAAAGCCTCAGCTGACCTCACAGAGATCCCTAGAAGGAGATGGCCCTTCAGGGCTGTCATAAGAGGCTGGGCTTTTAAAGTCTTTCCCCCCTGAGTGCTGTGACCACATCAAGCAGTTGCAGGATATGAGCTGCCCCAAGGAGGGGTCGTGAGCCTGGGCTAGCCAGCTCTCTTCTGGGGGGGGGGGAACTCCCAGTAGCTGGCTCCTTCATTCACAAAGGAGCTTGTGGTGGCTCACAGTGAAAAAAAAATGTGACAATGAATACATGTATGTTCATGTGTACCTGAAAAATTGTGCTCTACACTGGAATTTGACACAACATTTTAAACTGACTATAACTCAATAAAAAATTTTTAAAAAAAGAGGAAAACCGGAGCACACCATCACAGCTTCTACTCGAGCACCTATTCCTAAGTTTCATATCCATATTTGAAAACTCAGTAATAAAGTCAGCTGTAGCCTGTTCGGAATGATACCTGACTGATAGATTCCACAAAGTGGCCCGAGACTCAGAACTTACAAATCAGAAGGAAAAGGGTCGTGTACCGCATCTCCAGTGTAAAGCTAGGCAAGACAGGGCCTGGAAGGAGAGTCTAACCCTTGACGTTGCATGAACATGGGAGCCAGAGCTTGCAGGGGTCCGTGTGGAGAGAAGAATGAAACTGAGTCAGGCATGGTGTGGACCCCCGAGGAAAGGACAGGTGGATCATGAGTTCTGAAGACTAAGGTCCAAAATCCAGGTCAAGAATCCAGGACTCCAGTCACGCTCAAACCACAGCAGAGAAGTGGACATTGTCAGACTCTAAGGT